AGGCAGGTGAGCGAGTTGGGTGCCAGTGACAGAGCTCCGTAGGGCAGGGTGCGCCCAGGGTGCTGTGGCAGCTGCATCCCCCAGCAGCTGAGGTCATTGCCCTGGGGACAGGGGCTGGGGGGCCACGGCTGAGGCTGTGGCCATCACTGATGGCACCCTCAGGTGGCACCCCATGGGAGCAGTGCCATCACCGTGCCCCCGAGTGCAGAGGAGCCCAGCCTGGACCTCGCCCCTGCCCCAGCCACCTCGTGGCCCCTGCCTCCTATGTCCTGCCCTCCCCAGGGACAGTCGGTCCCATGGAGTTCTGGTTCTTTGTGGCCCCACAGCCCATCCCTGGGTCTGCTGTGGCCCCAGAGAGATCCTCAGCTCCTGCCAGGTGACCACATAGGCACCCTCCACTCCCTGGTGGGCCTCAGTTTCCCCAGCTGGTGACAGGCAGCAGTGACCATGCACTGTTGTGTCCCCAGGCCCCTCCCCAGTGGACTGGTGACCCGGGACCCCGCCTGTGTGTGTGGTGGGTTCTGGTTACCATGCACATCTCTCTCAGGGACCAGCAGGTCCTCAAGAAGACTGGGGATGCCTAGGCCCAGGGAGGCTTCCGTCCTTGGGGACGACCTGCCGGGCCTTGTGAGCGCTGGGTAGGGCTCCATCCAGCACCTGGCTGAGGGGCTGGCCTTGGTCTAGGCAGCGGGGCTGGCCTTGGGTGTCCCAGGCTCTAATCCTCACCACGTCGCACCCCACCCCCAGGAGCACCCGCTCCGAGGCCCCAAAAGGCCCCCCATCTGAGGCTCTGAGAGCTGCATGTGCAGGGCCCTGGCTGGGACCCTCAGGGGGCGGGCAGGAGCATGACAAAGGAGCTCAGCCACCAGGGCGGCCCAGTGGTGGGGTTGACAGTGCCCATGATGGCTCGTACTCTGACATGAGCAGCACTGCCTGTGTGCTCTGCCCCACCCAGGTGTGTCCCAGGCCACTCCCCGGGCAGAGTCGGAGCCGCCAGGACACACGGCAGACCCCTGGCTCTGGGACCCACCTGCTGCAACCCTTGCAAGGAGCCAAGGCCTAGGATCCCAGCCAGCACTGACTGGCCACTTCCAGGAGGCCACGGCGGGGGTGCCTGGGTTCCAGTCCTGCCTGTTGTGCCTGGCTGAGCAGCCATGGTTGGATCTCTTCCATCCAGTGCACAAGAGATCCCTGAGCAGTCACTACGTGCCAGGCCTGGGGGTCCCTGGAGGCAGGGCGAGCTTGGGCATTAGGGTGTGGCTGCTGAATGGGGACCCCGGATCCCTCGGGAAGCGCCGCCGCTCCCTGCTCCCCATCTCTCGCCACGGGGGAGTGTGGGACAGTGTTGCCACATCTTCCACAATTTTCAGTAGAAGCCAAAAATATGGATTTTAAAATGTAAATTCTCCCAATTTTTAAATGTTGGCTCAAATGTTTAAAAAGAAAAAAATAAAAAGAAAGAAAGAAAGAAAGAAACCTCAAGCGGGCCAAATACAACACGCCGGCAGCCAGATTTAGCCCCGGGAGGCCAATTTGCAGTCGCTGCCTGGCCTGTGCACCACGTGCAGCGGGCAGAGGGAGGTCCCTGTGGGGTCCCCAGGGCCCAGCCCGGTCCCCTTCTGCAGCCTGGTCCCCTGGGGTCCCCAAAGAGGCCATGCAAGGCCCTTCTGGGGACAGCCCCAAGCCAGAGCCTGGACCCTGGTCCTCAGCTGGCTGGGGGACCTCGGGCAGAGGCTGTCCCCTCCCCGTGGGAATACAGGAGGGGCCCAGTGGAACACCCGGGGCAATGGAGGCCCCCAGCTTTTCTGGGTCTGACACCTGCGATCCCTCAGCCCCCCCATGCCCAGGCTCCTCCCCCACACCGGCTCCTCCATCCCCTTCCCTCTCCCTGAACCCCTGAACCCCACCCCGCCCCTTTCCACCCCTCATGGCTGGATCTGACCCCTCCCAGAGTCACATCTCCCCCCAACACTGCTCTGAAATCCGGACCCTCACCCCAGTTCCCCATCCCCTCCCAGCCTCCCTCCTGACGCTTGGGCCCAGCGAGCTTTCTCCCATACCGCTTCCCGACCCCCATCTCCATTGGCTGGGCCTGCACGCTGCCCTCAGGACGCCCGCCCACAGCACCCAGAGGTGCTTCTCCACCCAGCCCTCCAGGGTAGATGCCAAAGTCCCATTGAAGGCCCGCAGGTGGCACTGGGCCTGGGCATCTCTCCCAGCTCTGCCCACGCTCCATCCCGAGCCCCACCCCCACCCCTCTCCTTCCCGGGAGACTCCCAGGAAACCCTCGGGATGGGAGAAGCAGTTTAGATGCCTCTGGCACCCTCTGTCTCCCTGCAAGAGGGCACCTCAGCCTGGTGAGGATGGAGGATCCATGGAGTCACCAAGCAGGCCCCTCCCAGATGTGGCTGCTTCCTTCTGGTTAGGGAAGGCGGGGTGGGGGATGGGTGACAGGCCAGATGGGCCCCCAGGATTTGCAGGCTAACCCACATCAGCAGGGGGCACGGTGACCAGACAGCCCTGAAGAGGCTGTGCTGGGTCCCTGGGGGCTTGAGGCAGGGCCCCGAGAAGAGGGGAAGGGCCAGGGCAGGAGAGCAGGACAATACAGAGCCACTTGGGAGCAACTGAGCTGCTCGTGCACAGGGTCCCTCCTGCCACGCCCCAGCACGCCCAGGCACAGCTGCCTCGCTGTCTGTCTGCGTGTCTTGGTTACTTTCCTCTCATTGCTCAGACAAAATACCCAACACCCAAAGTTAAAGGAGAGGTTTGTGTAGCCCACAGTGTGTGGAGGTCTCAGCTCATGGCTGGCTGGCTCCAAAGCAGAGAGTGGCACATGGCAGAAGACAGCAAAAGCAACAGGGACCTTAACAGCGTCTTTCCACCCCTGTCATCTCACCCAGGCTGCTTAGGGCGGGAGCACTCTCACCTTAGTCCTAGTGCCCTTGAGCCTAGCATTGCACCACGGATCAGTTCCAGGCTCACACACTCTCCATCCAGCCACCTCTGAAAAAGCCCCACCTCTGACCACATGAGGCTTTGGGGGACGTCTAGACACATCCGTGACACACGGTGTCCCTGTGTTCAGAGGAGGAAGCTAGAGCTCTGCAAGGCTCCAGGGCATAGTCCAGAGGGAAGGCAGATATGCAAAGGCCGCGGGGCAGGAAGGAGCTGGGTGACTATGGGGCCAGCAGGGTGGCCTGGGCGGGCAGCTGGCATGTGCTGAGCTGTGTGGCAGAGTGGGATCTGAGTTAGGCGGGGCCAGGTCACTAAGGCTGGGCTGGCAGCACGGAGTCCCTCCTCTGTCGCCCGGTGGGCACCTACTGTGGGCAAGTCTGAGTGCCCAGGTGCCCCAGAGAGGATGGTGGCTGTGGGACACAGGCAAGAGCTCCTGCCCCAAACCTCCTGCTCTTGTGTGTGGGCTGCCAGGCTTTCCCCTCTGGGGCCTCTGTCTTTGCATCTGCGAAAAGGGTTATTAGAAGACCCACCTCCTCCAGAAGTGTGCAGAGAATGAGGAAAGGTAGCAGGGGCTGAGAGGCCGAGCGGCTTGGCCCAGCTTGACTGACAGGCAGGATCTCCCGTGAAGAGGTTGGGAAATGAAGGTGGCTGCAGGGCTGGGTCACCGTCACCCAGAAGGGACCAGCGAGAGTGGGGGTTGGAGCAGTGAGGACATCAGAAGGGTGTTGCTGGTGAAGGCAGTGGCCAGGGGCTGTGGCTTGGGCTGCAGGGACGGTGCCCAGATGTAGGGCTGGATGAGATTTCACCTGTCCCCCCTGTGTGCCCACATTCATCCCTTGCCTGCGGGGAGGTTGTGCCCCATCATCAGGGTCCCCTCCCCTCCCCTTCCCGAGGCCTGGAATTCCCAGCAGCCCAGCAAGCAGCCTCAGGGACCCTCAGAGTCCTGGGGACAGGCAGCCATGCTTTGCTCCAGCATTAAAGGGACATCCCCAAATCCTACAAGGGGATGGCAGAGCCAGGACCCTGGCAGCAATGCCAACACCTTTCTGAGAGCCCTGTCCTTCCCAGTCCCTGGAGAGCCTCCAGCACAACCCTTCCTCCCCACGGGTCCTTGGGCCTCCAGACCCCAGGCTGGGAAAGTGGTTGGCCTGTCTCATGGGGTGGGGCTCAGCCGAGACCGCTGAGCCCATGATGGGGTGGGGGAGCAGCCCTGGAGGGTGGGCCGCTACAGCCTGGGCTCTAGAAGAATTCAGGAACCAGCATAGGAAGCAAGGGAGGTCTGGGTCTGTCTCCTACCCCACCCGGCCCCCACCTGTGCCTCCCCCAAGTCCCTTCTTGAGGGTTGGGGGATCCCAGACAGGCCTTCCAGAAGAGCTGAAACATCCCATGTAAATAATTAATGCCAAATTTTTAAAAATTAAATTTTAATACGTTTTTATTAATTTTAGACAAACTTCCGGCAGGTCGTTGGCGCAGAGTGATTGGGGCCACCAGAGTGATGAGAGGGGAGTTCCCCTCTCCCCCATGGAAAAGGCCTCTGGATGGGGCCCAGGCCCAGCGGTCCTGCAGCTGCGTGGCCTGCAGCAGGTCCCTGTGCCCTAAGCCGAGCTCTCCCCGTCCTTGCGGGGTGGGGGTGCTGCTGCCTCCTTGCCTTTCGCTGGGGTGGACTCCCTGGTTGGGGGAGGGTTCTCCGCCCTTCGCCCCGGGAGAGCAGGGCTCCCCCATCCCTCCGCCACTCGTCCTCCTGGAGCCGCGGGCTGGGTGGGAGGCATGGTGCTCGGTTGAGCGCGCGGACGTGGGCTTTGGTTGATCCTGGGCCAGGTCTGACCCTCCAGCGTCCGGCTCCTCCCACCCTGCGCTGGCTGGTGGGGGCCAATCCTGCTGGGTGCTGGGGTGTCCAGCTGAGAGCGCGGGGCTCCTACCCAGGAACTGGAGACCGCGAGCGGGGAAGGCTGGAGGAGCCCGGCTGGCGGGCCGTGGATCCAGGCATGCACTGCCCGTGTTTATTGAGCGCCTGCTGTATGCTGGGACCTGGTGTGACGCGCGCTGCGATGGGAACCCGGAGAGGTGGGCTTGGAGAGGAAGGGCGCGGGGGTTGCTGGCTGGCTGCAAACTCCGCCCGGCGAACTCTTTATTCCTGGAGGGGGAAGATTTATAGGAGGGGTCTGGGCTCGTGGTCTTGCACAACTTTTAGAGCATCGGCGGCAGCGAGAACCCGAGAGCCGCCACCCTAGCACCTCGGGAGCCTTTCTCGCTCCGAAATTCCTGCCCCGCCCCAGCCCCTCCGCAGCCCGCGGTGCTGCAGGGCGGCCGAGCTCGGTCCGGCTTCCTCCCGCCTCCCCTGCCCCCAGCTTTCAGGTGAGGAAACAGGCCGGGGAGGCCTGCTCGAGTGGAAGGGAAGTAGGTGGCCGGGCCTGGCCGAGTCCCCGGGCCGGGCTGCGCCCTCGCCCGGCGGGGTGGTGGGGGAGGCTGCGTGGGGCCCGGACCGAGCGGAGCGCGCTCCCGGCGGACGCGGCGGCGGCGCCCGGCGCGAGGGGCCGGGATGGGCAGTCATCTGTCTTCCCAGGTCTGTCGCCGCTTCCCCGGGCCGAGACCCCGTCCCCCGGCCACCTAGAGATGGGGGAGCGCCCGGGAGCGGCCTCCCCCGGGGGCTGGAGAGCCCGCTCCGCGAAGGAAGTGCGATCCCGCGCGGGCCGCGCGCCGTCCCGGTGCTCGCCGGCGCCCGCGGGGTTAACGGCGCGGGTGGGTCCCCGCTCGGGCGGTGCGGGCCGGGCTGGGGGGGGGTCTCCAGCCGCGCGCGGGCGGGTCTGCGCAAGCCCGGCAGGGCGCCTCGCCGGCGAGCAGGGCGCGCAAGGGTTAATCCCTGGGGCCCGGGAGGGGCGCGCAGGCCCGAAAACCCCAATCCGAGGGCAGCGGGGTCCTGATTGCGGAGTGGAGCACTCCAGCTGCAGCACCTCGGGCTGTGCGAGCGTCCGCTTCTGCAATTCCGCACAGCCCTAGGTCCCCGATTCCAACATTCTCGGACTCGGAAAGCCTGAGATGCCCGGCTCGGCTTCCTCCAGGAGGGAGTGCGAGGCCGCGAGGGTTAACGGGCAGGACGGTGGGGGGCGGCGGGGCCCCAGACACCCGGAGTTCAGGGGACCGGCGGCCCCCTCCCCCGGACGCGGCAGGGAGCGCCCCATCCCGAGTGCCCTGGCCAGCCCCCTCCTCGTCCCGGGGGGCGTAACTCGGGGCCCCGGAACGCAGCGGCCCGGCGGGCTCACCTGTTACTCGGCCGCGGCCGGGCGCACCCACTGAGGCAGGGGAGCCGCGGCGGGCGCAGCTGGGGTTGCGCGGCCGGCTGCCCACGGGCCGAGCCTCGCGGGGGAGTCCGGCGGTGCCTTCTGCTCTGACCGTCTCCTTTGGTTTCTCGCAGGCCTCTGCCGCAGACATGGAGAAACTCAGGTGAGTGGAGCGACCGCCGCCCCTCGGCTCTTAGGGCCAGGGTCCGAGGAGGGCGCTGGGGCGGGCGTGGGGGCTCCCCCGGGCGCAGCCAGGGCCCCGGCCGCCTCGGCGGACCGTATGCTTGGCTTGGTGCGTGTGTGCGCGCCGCGAGACGAGGGGGGGGCCGGCGCTGCGCTGCGGTGGGGTGGGGTGGGGTGGGGTGCGCCACTGAGCGCCACCGCCCCCCCTCGCCGCGGTCCCCTGCCCCCGCCGGACTCCGGCTGGCGTGTCCCGGGGGACCCCGCCGCGTTGCGCACCCGTCCCCCACCCCCCTGCGCACAGTTCCTGCTTCTGAGCTTCCAAGTTTCCGCAAGGTGGGGCGGGGGGGGGGAACGGCATCCTCTCGCCCCCCCCCAGGCGGTGGCCTTTTGGAGCCATTTTGGGGGAATCCCGCGGCCACGCCTGGGGAGCGCACCCCGAGGCCTCCCGCGGGCGCTAAACTTTCAGCCTCGGTGAATCCGCCGGGCTCCCTCCGCGGCATGCCGGGGATCGCAGATCGCAGCACTGGCGACTTCCACCGCGACTTCCCCGGCCGTGGACCCCCACTTTGGGAGCCCCTCCGCGTTTTCCTTCCGGAGCCCGGGCTGAGGGCTCTGTGGGCAGCGGGCTTGCCCGACCCGCTGGGCCTCAGCACCATCCCCCCCGCCCCACCCGAGGGTCCCCGGGCCCCCACTCTCTCGCGCCGCCGGGATCGCATCCCTAGCGAGGCTGTGGACGGCAGATGACCCTTGCCCCGCGGAAGCCCAGGCTGTGCTCAGGGTTGGTCCTGGGCGGGGCCTTCGCCGCGGATCTAGAGCCCTGGGGGAGTGGCTTGGAAATGCCCGTGTGGGAACTCACAGAAGCCCTAGGAACCTGGTCTCCTGCGTCCCTGAGCCCGAGGTCCTAAGGCTCAGGGACTACCGTATGTCCAGGGCTGGGAGCAAGGATCCATCCTCGTAGGTAACAGGACCTCAGCCCCCAGCCTGGTGGTAGTTGGCCAGGCCCACCCTGTCATAACCAAGGTCGGGGGTTGGGGGAGGCCGGAGCCTCAGGCCGGCTATGTCAGACTTGGGGGCTCAGGGCGGGGCCCTCAGGACCCCACGTGGGTGGGGTTGAGCAAAATGGTGGCATCCATTTTGCAGAGCCATGGAGAGCCATCCCTCAGCCCTTCTTCTTTCCTTCTTCCTAATGCCCACAGAGGTCCCGTGTGCCAGGCTCTGGGCACAGAGACCTGACCCAGTGTGGCTGGGGATACAGGTGGCAGGTGGGCAAGTGCTGAGGCTCCCTGGCTGAATGGCAGGCTGTGGCCATGGGTGGGGCCATGTTGGGGTCTGGGGGTCAGGACTCAGAGGGCCCTTCTGGCTTGGGGAGGGGTCTGGCCCTCCTCTTCACACCCGATGCTGCTGCCTTCTTCCCCTCCTGACTGAGACAGCGCTGCCTGCCAGTTTCTGCCCTACACTCAGGGCCAGGGGACCAGGACCGTAGAGGCTGAAGGGAAGTCAGCGGCACGCTCTCCCACCAGAAAGGGCACAAGGTTTGCGGTCCCTCAGACTCTGGCAAGGTCCTGGCCTTCTCTGGCCTCAGTTTCCCCAGCTGTAAAATGGGGCAACCTCCTCATCCCAGGGGGAGTCTGGAATGGTGACTTGAAGCTTCCCTCCCCAGGCCTGGCACTGCACAGGGGCCCAGCCCACCAGCTCCAGGCCAAGAGAAGCGGCAGCAGCCGGTGAGGAGCAGGGTCTGGCAGCCCAGGGGCCAGCCTATGCCCATGCTGCCTGCTGCCCCGTGCGGGTCTCTGCATGTGCGCCTTGTCCCCTGCGGGCCAGGCTGGCTCTCAGGAGGGCACAGTGAGCAAGGGCGGAAGGAGCTCCAGGACTGTGCCTCCTGCTGGCACGTGGTCCCCAGCTCCCTTTTGGGGGCAGATTCGAAGCCGGGGCCTCTCTGTCCTGTGCCCTCTGCCTCACTCCGCCCCCGCCCAGTGGCCCCAGGGCAGCTGTCACTTTTGCACCTCCGTGCCTTTGCTGTGATGTCCCCTCTGCCGGGACGCCCTTCCCCACCTTCCTGTCCACTCAACAAGATGACCCTCCTCCCCCTCCTAGGTAGACTCACACCCCCTCTGTCCCTGGCCAGGGCCGGGGGGGCGGCACTGAGATGGCACTGGGGCTGCAGAGCAGGGGACGCAGGCCCACAGTGGATCTCCCACCCCAGCGGGGCAGCACAGTGGGGTCTGCCCAGAATGCTTCCCAAGCCCAGGGTGAAGATGCTGGGCTAGGACACTGGAAGCAGGGACACGGGACCTGAGGCACAGAGGACGAATAGGAGTTTGCCGGAGGGGAGGGGCAGACCTGGTGCCTCCTGAGAGGGACAGAGGTCCTGGGACCCTAGGAAGCAGGAGTGCTAGGGAGACATGGGGCGGGGTGTGTCCGTGTGATTCCCAGCCCTCGTCCGCCCTCCCCAGAAAACCGGTAGGCACCCTGGGAACAGAGGCTGACTGATGCCCCGCTTCTGCCAGCCTCGGTGTCTGAAGGGGACAGCTGCACAGTAGGGCTCCCGGGCCCAGGTGGAAGTGGGAGATGTGGGGCCACATCCAGGGATGGCCCAGCTACCCCTGTCTCCTGCAGCCCCCTACTCGTCCCCACTCGGCTCTCCTGCCTCCCTCCAGCTGCTTTGAAAACTGCCCTTGTCAGGATCAGGCGTTTGGGGTCATCAGCAGCATCTCTCAAATCAGTCCCCTCCCCGGTGCCGGCCCCTCCCCCCGCGGACCTCAGCTCCTTCTGCACAGGGGAGCAGGAGCCTGGGGGGCATGGGGCGCTTGGGAAGCCCAGAGCTGTCCCTGCAGGGTCACCTCCTGCCCCCAAGTGAAGTTGCCCCAGTTGTGGGCTGCGACAGTCGCAGAGCAGTTGGCGCCTGTACAGTTCAGCCATTATGTTAGGGCCACCTGGTGGCCAGCAGGCAGACAGAACCTCAGTGCTGCCACAGACCCCCGGGAGCCCCAAGAGCTTTCCCAGCCGTCACCAGGCCCTGCCTTGGTGAGAGTCACCCTCCCCGGGACCTGTCACCTGAGAAAGTGCTCCGGAGCAAGTTGCCTTTGCCTGGCCCTGGCCGGGACCTGGCCCACGTGGGTTGCTCCGCCTAGGCTTTGGGGCCTCTTGGCCCTGCTTCACCAGAAGCGCTGGGTCGGTCCCTGGGAGTGGCCTGGCTGTCGTAGTGCTGTCCCCTGCTGGCTGTCAGATGAGCAGCAGGTCTCCCTGACCACAGTGTCTATCCGCCGCGGTGGGCGGTAGGGCATGTCCCCCCCGCACCCCGTGGTCAGGGCTGCTGTGGACGCCCTGCAGGTGTTGGGGGTGCCTGCTGCGTTTCTGGGGATGGCGCAGGTGTGTGCCCCACCCCCTCCTGACCCGGCCCACCCCCGAGCCTTTGCTGCCCTCTCTGCTTCTTGCTCCAAATGGGCCTTGGTAGAGCAAGACTTTCTGATTGTTGGTTTTTGTTTTTGCTGCACTAGGGATTGAACCCAAGGCCTTTGCACTGAGCTACATTCCCAGCCCTTTTAATTTTTTATTTGGAGACAGGTTCTCTCCAAGCTTCATTGCCCAGGCTGGGTTGGAACTTTCAATCCTCCTGCCTCAGCCTCCTTGACTTCATTTATTGACTGTCTCCAACTTTTAAGTTCTTTCTGGTTCATGCCATTCGGTGTCCTGTTTAAGGACTCTGATGTCATGCAGCTGGTGGCCTTAGTCTGCTTGAACTTGGTTGCCTGTGGATCGAGGCTGTTTATTTTTAGGCCTTGGCACATGGACACCCACACATTTGGGCCGTGTTCTGATTCCCTCGTGTGACCGCCACTGTTGTGGTCCTGCCCAGGCTGCCCTCCTGGGGACACTGAGGAACCCAGGCAGCCTCACAAGTGTCCCAGCACCCCTCCCCCAGGCCCCCCTGGGACAGCTGCTAAAGCCCAGGACTGAGACAAAGCTCCAGAGCCCCCTCCCACCTCTGTCCCCCAAGGCCCCTCTGGGCCTGCCCCACCTGCCTCTCTCTTCAAGTCTCCTGGTTGTTGCTGTTGCTTTATTCAGGGATCGCATAAACACTTATTAGGCATTTACCAGGGGGTATTGTAGGCCTGGGGGTAAAACGTGAGCAAAACCCTATGCAGAGGGGAACAAAAACTTATTAAATAAATAAGCCACGAAGTGCCAAGTGCTGTGAAGACAGAAAGCAGTGGGGGTGGCATGGCACAGAGCCGTGGGGAGAGCCGCCGGGCCCAGGGGCCTGGAGGGGGCCAGAGGCCGCACGGTCTCAGTGACAGGGTCAGGGGGGACTTGGAGGTGACCCAGGAGCTGGGCAGGAGGGGTGAGGCTCCATCCATGAGATGGGCACCGTGGGAAGGAGGGGCTGGCGGCACAGGCTTGGGTGCCCCTTTATTTAGCAAGTGCCAGCTGCACACAGCTCTGGGCATGCAGGGGTCTTCCTGAGGATCGGGGCCTGGCTGGCATTGAGGTTTGGGACCTGCCGGCCCCAGCAGAGGTGCTGGGAGGTGGCTGCTCCTTCCCCCCGGCCAGATCCGGTCCTGCACATCCCTCTTCCAGCCCACCCTCCATGCCAGCAGGCTGAGCCACTCCCTCCCTACATGAGGCCCCTCTAGGGTCCCTGAAGCTAGAGGGGGAGCCTGGCAGCTAATTCTCACTAAGGTGTCAGTGACTACCTCACCACGAAGACGTGGAGAACTGGTTCCCTCCCTGCTTCTCCACCCAGCTCAGCTGAGTTCCCACTCCTCTAGGAAGGTCCCTGAGGGCGCGTGCCCTTAGAAGGCACAGTTGTGTGGTGACACTGTTCCCGTGGTGAAGGAGAGGACCCAGTGGGGCTGCAGCCAGAGTCTGGGGTCCCTCCTGATCTGTGGGCGGGCTGAGGGTTGGACCCCAGGACCTCCTCCTGCCCCATTTGTGCACAGGGAAACTGAGGCTCTGAGTCCTGAGTGACCGGCTGGCCCC